AGAAGAGTGAGAATGTGCTCACCACCGTATATTGAAAAAGTTTAGGGGATCGTATCAGGACAAGGGTTGTTTGAACTTTTGAGAAAAGCGATTGATTCTTTAATAGTATCTAAAGAAAAGCTGATAATTTCTGAAGATTTTTGCGAACGTAGGTGGAACCTAAATCCTCCAGAACAACTGGAGATGGGCCACTGTAATTCAAGTTGAACATTCTAAAACTGAAAGAGGAGTCTATGAGGGATGCGCTCACTACATATTATGATTATATCAGACGGGATTCCAGGGGAACATAGAGAAGACGGAGGTGATGATGATAACCATCCAACCAATGGCAATGTTTGCCATCAAATGGAGAGATTTGGCAGAGGTAATTTCCCCTGCTTAGCTAGGAAGCATCATTTCAGCCGAATGCAATCGGAAAGAATGAAGATGTCGAAACCAGCCAGCCAGCCAAACATAATCGGATAGGCAAGATACGCATTCATAAACCTAAAACCAGTTTGGAGACCTTCTTCATTAACTCAGCAGCAGAATAAGGTTTCGATCGTAGACACAAATGTGAGGTCAGTCAGTTCCTCAGTCAGAAACTTGGCCAGTGCATCACGAAAAGGGTTTCCAAGAGCCTACTGCAGACTTCTGTCGACAGCTGCCTTCTCTGACTGCATACTGAAGATCAAATGGCTGGCCGGTCGGTCAGAGGGGATTAGCAACAAGAAACTCTGGCTTGGAGCAAACCAACCAGTGGTCAATTGTTCAACAAATATATCGGAGGAAATGGAGATGGATCGTTGAAGACAGTGCACTGCAGTCTATCATGCTCCTTATCTTCATATTTGTTCTGAGCGAACGCTTAACACTAAGCAGTTAGCTTCTACATTCTGCACTGATTATGGCCAGTGAAGCTTGATTCTGAAACGAAATTATTAATGTCGGTTAATGACTGACAATGGCCAGAAAAGATCAGCAACACGGATCTATGGCAATAAGCAAACCAACACAGCAGGAACCGATTGTGAAACAAATATGCAGGAAGAAATGGAGATGGATTGGTCATACGCTGAGGAAACCGTCAAGTGACATCACTAGACAAGCCCTCGAGTGGAACCCGAAAGGGAGGCGGCAAGTTAGTCGTCCAAGGGTGACTTGGAGGAGGTCATGCAAGGAGGAGATGAAAGCATGTGGGCAGGCTTGGAGCGGGGTGAAAAAGTCGGCAGAAAACAGAAGGCAATGGAGGTGCGCAGCTGAATCCCTATGCTCCTGTAGGAATTAAAGGATATAATAATAATAAAATAACTGACAACTACGATATCTTCTCTGGGAACAGATGAAAAGGCCATTGGTGTGGAACACTAACCCGATATGTAGTATACATTCTTTGTGACCCATCTGCATCACAGCTCGGTGAATATGTATTGGTAGAAATAAGGTGGCCTGCTCAAATCTAGGAGCCGCCTAATTTTTATTCATCGAAATGCATTATGATATCTCTATCTTTTTAAGTCATATCACCATAGTTTATTCTCACAGGTGGATTGCGGCCTGCTGCAAGGAATTTTCGAAAGAAATGACGGGACCATCGGGGAGCATGGAGAAGTGATGCAGTTAGAACGATATCCTATCAGATGATGCAATAACTATTACTGTTCATAATAATAATTTATATTTCGTATAAACGGGTAAGTTTACAAGAGACGCATGCCATGCAGTTATGTAACAAATTACAATGCTGAAGTATTATAAATTAACCCTTTTTCAAAAGTTTCAATTATTCAATTATTGTACAAGCAGTCAGAAGAGGTTCTTATAAGTGTTACAATGTTAACCCTTCACTAAGATCACCATCACGATTGAGCGACAACCCAAACTTCGTTCCGTTTCTTGTTGATCATTACGTTCAACCATTCAACAGCGTATATTTGGGTAAGTGCCCTCATTTCATTAACAGCTATTTCAGGAAGAGAAGAAAACTGCGCAGCTGCAAAATGGTGTAAAATGGAATTATGAATAATACACTATTGGAAGTATATTTACAAAGTAAATACGGGAAGAAGAAGCTGTAAAGTACTTGAAATTATAGTATACAATTTCAATGTTTAATACCAGCCATATTGGTCTAAGCATGGAAACTATGAACGGTTTGATGAAGATATAGCTTTGTTCAAACATTGGTGTTATTGTGTTCTAAATCAAGGAAGCCAGATTTGAGAAAGCAACAAATATGAACAGGGCGCAAGTTTTAGCTAGATCTTCACATCCTGCATACTACAAACAACATGTAATTAATCCCACCACCACACCTTTTCGAGCCAACCAACCAAACCTACGACAGTCGAGTGGTGGGACGAACTACTAAAAAGTCCACTGAAGATCAGAAACCTTTACCTCACAGTCAAGAAGCAAGCACAAAGAAATCAAATTGGTTCATACTAGCTCGTTAAAACGATACTGGATTTTGGAAGCCTTGTGGTGGGCAAAACAACATCACCGGGATTTACACATATGCGTTCGCCCCCTTTTACAGTTCGCATAATTTCAATCTTCAGTTACAGGCGACTGCATATTTGCTACTTCCCTTTTTAAATCATTCATTTTTCATTTATTACATCATTCTAATTACATCCATTTTTGACCTCACCGAATGACCAGTGGGTGAAGCGAATAACTCCGAAGTAAACGCACAACATTCTACCAATCAAACATAACCAACCTACCCCATCAATCCCCTCAGTATTTTCCGAAGCTACATTAGGTGAGTGTCTAGAATAGCTTCCCAAAAACCTTCACCTCATTACCAAAAGGTGGGGCAAAGTTCAACAATATCGTCCCAAGCGATGCGATTGAAGGAGTGACCTTCAGACGACCTACCAGTGGCACAGTGGTTAGGACTCTCGCCGACCATGCACATGGTCCGGGGTTCGAGCCCACGCCGGCGCACACCTGATATCTATGGTCAGCCTGCAAAATTTGGGCTACCGATATCCATGCTGAAAATTCCATACTTGTACCAAAAATACAGTGTGGAATCAAGCTGTAAATCAAAAAAAAAAAAAAATTAGTGACTTTTGCACAAAACATGACGTGTATTTGTGATTAAATGCATGAAAGCACATTAAACAGGTCATAATTCTCTGACATGACTTAAAACTACGTCACAGTTATAATGAGTAGCGGGGTGTAAAGAGGGTGATTTGGTTTGAACAGGACGGCGCTTTCGTTTGGCTTTGCGGTTACGATGCCTCGGCAGGTTCAAGACCCCAATGGGAAGAAGTCTCTGTATGTTTGCGTATATTTTAACAAGCCTTTTACTAACACAGAAACGTGAACAATGAATCGAATAGGATTTTATGGAAGTGTACTCAAGCAAATTGTCAAGGCTTTGTCTCTCGCACAGACCACAAATGCAGCCTGTGTAAGAAACTCTCGAGTTTTCCCAACACGGCACTGGCATCGATAAGTAAAGGGAATGCTATTAATATAACTGCCAATGATACGCTATCTGTAAAAAGACCAAGAACTTCTAGCGATAGTCACCTTGTTCCGCTTAATATTTTCAGCATTGGAAGGTCGGGAATTTACGATGGCCGTTCAGAGGACTCTTCAATCTTGTGCAGAGTTAAAGTTGAAGGTATACTGTACTTGTATATCACTAATTTTTTAGGTGTTTGGACTAACCTCAGTATTCATGCCAACGACATCGAAATGCTTGTGTTCTGTGAATCTCTTCAAGTGCTATTTCTGAAGCCGTACGACTCATACAAATCACAGCTCTCAAACCACCTGAAGCTCAGAGATTTTGTTTTACGTAAGGTTTCGAGTGGTCATTTTATAAGTGTTTGGTGTGGTATGTGCATTTTTTGTTAACCTTTAATGTACATATACTTGTCTAAGTAGTCAATTTCCCAGTTAGTCACAAGTGTGACGGGACAGAAAGCTATCTGCTTGACATCAGTTGTGGTAATTTGGGCTGGCAATAGCTTGATAATCGTGCGTAGTAAGTCACTTCACTGACGCTGACATGTTGCTTAGTTGTCTTATTACTAGGAAGTATCGAAACAACTGAGTTGTCGCGAATTCGCTTCCTCCCATGCAACCTCTGTGTTTTTTATTTGTCACCACCGCTTTACTGTGTTTACCGCCTTTACGCGATCCACCAATTTTCTCTTTCCCCCCACAATGCTGTATGAACATAACGTTAGATTCAATAATTTATAGAATGCTAAAATTTCCAAACTGAATCGACGATAGTGTTTGAAACAAACCGCCTGTTATTGTTGTTGTACTTATTATTCTCAATTTGTACTTAGAACATTTTTGACTTTATGCCGTAAATGTGGACAAATTTCTGTAGTTAGATTTATTTATATTTCGAGTAAATCAGGTGCCATATTGTGACAAACAATAGGTATCCCATTCTGTATTATAAGTATTGTTTTATGGAATAAAGTAGACTATTGTTATTCTTATTTTTATTAAATATCTGACTTCCAATTAGTGGGTTATGGCTTTGAATCGCGGTTCTTCCACCTTATCTCGGTTAACTGGGAAGTATTGCCACCCCTCCTCCTCACACACAATAGGCTGATACGTTCTTATTAGTAATCATCGCCAAGGTGATTTTTCAGCATAGGACTTTTCACTAAGGTGCATTTGTTCAAATTGTCATGCTTCATGAAGCACGCAAATTTTGAAGAGCCTTCCACTGATATATTGTGTTCCGATGGCTTTTGCCTCCTCGGGGAAAACTGGTAGGCTGCATACTGAACTTCCTATGAGTAACATTCTTGTCTTTCTGTACGAATATTAGTGGTATTCAAAGTGTACTTGTTTATTTGTCTCACAGCTAACGCCAAATGGCTGGTTTTCGTGTTTCGAGAACCTTCTACAAGCGAACCTCTTTATTTAACTGTGAGTAATCTCGAAGGTTTGGCCAACAAAATTGGGAGAAGTGGAGTCTGTGATATGCAGTGTAGTTCAGAAAACGCTAGGGAAATTCTTTCTAGCTGTGGTCTTCGTCTCCCCCGTTCTGAGCTGAGAAGGACTGGTACAGCATCTACTGAACCTTCAATCATAAATCGAATAGTTCAAGGCCAAGCTCTTGCTGATACGCATTATTCTGTGGAACCTAGTTCATCCCAGACAGTCAAACATGTAAATGAAGGTGGTTTATTAACTAATGTGATAAATACTCTTACGAGCAACGGCTTCCAGTTGAAAACGAATTCTGGCTCTGCAACGCACGAAAGCAACGTAAATTGTAGAGGAAAATCGGAAACAAATGAAGTAAGTTATAGATTATTCTCCTTATTTCATGAGTAGTGCTCATATACTGTCTGGCTGTTTTCGACAAATAACTTTGCACAAATGTGCAGCAGTTCAAGTCGCCACACTCCATGTAGCGCACAAAGCAAAAGAAGAAAGTACAAGAAAAGCACAACAGAGACAGTAAGCAGAGGTGTGAGACAAAGGAAGACTAATAACGAGGAACAAAAGAGTTACATTGGAAATCATAAATCAGTAGGAGTGGATGCATCTGCGACACTGAGAACGATTTTGAACCATGTCACCAATTGTTTCCAACCATATATTTTTACCGTCCCGAGGACCCCAACCAGTCAGGAAGTCTACACCTTCCTACGCGGCTTAGACTAACTTGACTGGTGCCAAGTTTTTGTTTGACTGCCGCTAGGTTTTTTCCAACCTGACCCTATATCCGCTAACATTGCTCGTCGAGGAAGGCGATGATTAGGCATGCATGCGTAACACATGTCCTAACCATCTCAGTCGATGTAACTGCTTCACAGCCTCGTCTATTGATTTTCCCTTCTACTTACCTAGCACTCGACCGATACCTAACCTCAATATTGCTCACCTTATTATACCACCAACCAACACGGGAGATAGAGCGCAGGCACCTATGATCGAAGATAGCTAATCTTTTCATGTCTTCCACTCTCAATGACCAGATCTCACAGCTGGCCATAAAGGAGGACGGAGCGGACTTTTGGGCAGTACACCCACCCTTTGGTCGATAGCCAGCCGGATATGACGTCTACTAGGCCATGGACAGCATAAACGGGCATATGCGAAACTAGCCCTCTGTATCCGTACTCAGCTGAGATTTCGTCATAGATCAACCCGTTGGCGTTGGCTGATGGTACTTCCCAAATAAGTGAAGCGGTCAACGTGCTCTACCACTTCACTTCCTATTTTTAAACTTGGCGTCGATGTAGTCCAGTCCTGTAACATCATCTTGCATTTGGCGGGAGCGAATTGCATGCCAAACATTCGTAGGTTGCAGCTCAAGGTGTTTAGATGACTGTATTTTGTCAGCGTCTTCGCCTAGTAGGACTATATCATCTGCATATTCTAAGTCAACGAGATTATTCCCTGGTAGCAAGTCAATCCCTGAGTCGCTGAATTTGCTCGGGATTAAGTTCATTAGTGCATCTATGATGAAGTTGAATAGAAAAGGGGATAATGGGCATCCTTGACGGACACCACTAGTCGTCACCAGTTCAGATGACAACTCACCGTAAGCCCTCACCTGGCTGACTGCATGAGTTCGAGTGGAGTGAGTGCTTTGATCAGTGCACTGTATTTTCTCGTCATTCCCTTTACAGCCAGGCACCTCCAGGTCGACAGAATCGAATTCCGCCTTCAGGTCAAGAAATATAATGATTGTTGAACGCCGGTAGGAATGACTATGTTCTAGAATCTGTCGGAGGGTGAAGATATGATCAATACACCCTCTTCCTAGTCTAAAGCCTGCCTGGTTCTCTCGTGTTTGTGCCTCCCGAGCACCACTCAGTCTACGCATGATTATTAAGCCTAAGACTTCAGATACTATATTAGTCAAGCTAATCCCTTTGTGATTATCACAGGAAGACTTGTCTTCCTTCTTGTATATCGGGATAATCAGTGACTTACACCAATCCGATGGGACTTCTTCTGATTCCCAGACGCTGCCTAGAACCTCAGTTAATTCAGACAGTAAACTGTCTCGATTGTACTTAAATACCTCTGGAGTCACTCCATCAGGTCCCGCTGCTTTGCCTAGTTTTAGATTGGTGACAGCTTTAGTAACCCCAGTTAGGGGTGGAGGACCTGTGTCTATATCCCATTCAGGGAGGTGTTGGATGTTCGGCAAGTTGAGCGTGGCTGTGGGCCAATTAAACTGATCCTCGTAGTGCTCTTTCCAGCGTTCCAGTCGTCTATCGTGGGAGCTAATTATGGTGCCATCTGTCTCAGAATTAGTCCCACTTATGATTTGCCTCATATACTAATTGAGTTCTCAAACGTGCCCGTTTTTAGCCAAAAAATTGGTGGCATAGCTTTATGGTTTATGCGTTGCTAAATTTTGAGAAGTCTAGTAGCTTGAAAATATTTTTTAAGACACGTTGATGCCAAGCTCACAGTATTGGAGATATATGTTTCTGTGGTCCTTGTGAAGTGTGGTGTAATATGGTATAAAATCATATGATTATGATCAGTAGTTTGTGCTCGAAATATCATCAGTTAATATTACTGTATAACACTGTGATTTATCAAAATCAAATCTTATCTGCAATGGAGTTATACTCTACTCTATTTTGAGGATGAATGTAGTGCTAGGTAAGGGAGATGTTGTTAAGCTACACCTATTGAGATGGCTTGAACACGTGTTGTATGCCGAACCACATTCTTCCCCTACGAGCAATCGTAGTTGATATAGGGTTTTGTTGGAAGAGTGGGGGTTTGCCAAATGGAAACCCAAGAGTGATCGACGCAGACTTTGACATTTGCTTTGAGCCACGTAGAGAGGTGTAGACTGCCTGGTTGGAGTCCTCGGGTTGCCTGGAGGGTATTGGTGATATGGCTCAAAATCGTCCTTAACGACGCAGGTGCATCCACTCTCTATGTTCTATGGAATCCATTAAGTCCTTATTAAAGTTTAAGTCTTCTTACGCTGGTACTATGTCCTCGTAATCTTTTCCACTGCACTTGAAATTGTAGGTTAAGAGAGATCGGCTTAATGTACCGAATAAATGTTTCAGTCACCTTAGATAGTGTATCACAACCTTATTGTATTGAATCAAATTTTTCATCGAGTTTTCAGGATTGTGCATTTTATAGTTCATTATACATGTATGAGTGCCTCATTGGTTGGGGCACTAGACTTACAGCTTTATTGGTCGTGGGTTCGAGTTCCGCCCCACCTACTTGAATCCGGACAACTGGGTGGTATTGTCATCTCTCACAATACTCACAGTTCAGTCTGGTAGATGAAAAATGTGTGTTCTGAACAACTGGGGTCAAACAACATGGCCAGATACTATATCTTTAAGCTGTCATAGGACAGGACAGGACAACAGGGACTGCAATGCAACGTCATGGTTTGCTAAGGTCAGTATTTAATGAGCTTTAGACGATGAATTAACTTCACTTTTAGAAATAATGTTTGTCGTTGAATTAATTTTATCAGTTGACAAATGGTTCATTTACTCGATCGCTATCTTAAGATTAGTTCACTTTACTGACGACGACAAGGTTTAGTGGAACTGCAGTCCTATATTTTTATATGGGTTCCCAAACTGTTTCCCAACTATATATTTATTCTCCTTTTCTCCAATTAACATCAAATTTTCATCAGAATACTTAGAAATTAGGTGTAATTTACTAAGAATTTAAACAAAATTGTATTTATATATTGATCACATATCCTTTTATATTTGTTCACAACGATTTGTTTAATTCAACGACTTGTTTTTCTTTGAAGTTAGACGAGGAATGTGACGACTTAATTATAATACATGAAGAAAATACTTCTAATGTGGCCGCTCAACCTCCTGGTGATAATGTGCAAGCAGAGTCGACTACGAATTGTGACGAAGACTCCTTGTAAGCGAAACTTTTTTTGTACCTTAGAAAGCAGTTAGTCATTTTGGTAGCCAATATAAAGGTACACTAGTTGCCTAAAGTGATTGATACTTTGCCTTTCCTTAAAATGTTCAGTGTTCGTCTCCATAGCCACTGATGACCACCTCACGTTGCTCACATTACTTAGATTTTAACTTAATTTCACTCCTTACTGTCCAAGATACTTTCAAACCAATATGTTGCTAAATTACTGTTTACATCGGGATTCTTGGACTTTTAACAAAGCTAACGTGATGTGACATTTGGAACTGTCTTCATCAACCACAATGGGCAACATGGTGTTTAAGATCTTTTCCCCCTTTTTTCATAAAAGTATGGGATGCGTATTGCTTATATCATTTAGTCAAATAAATGACTAGTTTTCATTATCACTATCGAGTGTTACTGAAAACAATTACGAATGTTGTAGCATAGAACGTTTTACATGAAAGCAAGCTTAGCTCGTGTTCTGTGCGATAAAGAAAGCACTAGGTGTGAAACCTTTAACTTATTAAATAGTCAGTAGAAGAACTGGATCTTGTCTTTCCAACTCACATCATTTATAGGTACAACGTTTTCTCTCTTTTCCTTTCTCTCTGCGTTTTTTTGTTATGGGCTGTTTTGTTTCTCTCTTCCTTACAAATTCTACTTAAAACATTGTCGTTCGTTCTTTCACACTTTGTATATCTCGTCCATTTTGTCACCGCTTACGCCAGTAAATATGCTACCATCTACTTTTCTAACACCTAACACTGTTTAATTTTGGCTTTACTACCGACATGCCAATATGTTGTATCACAAATACTGTTTTGGAATAAAGCTATTATCTTATCTTAAGCTTTCAGGTTACACAACTTGTGGTTGTCAACCTGAACTATTATTTACTAATCACTCCAGCCTGAAATATGTTTGAAGAAATAAAAGTGTGTTATCTTCTCACTTTATTGACTTGTTCATTAGAAATATCAGAGCAGAACTGTTGCTTACCGCATGACTTTTAGAATACAATTTATTGTTTCTGAATGTGTCAAGTGGAATTCCACAGATGTATGTGTGGAGTAACCATGGCGACTAGTATTATGAACGATAAATTCTGTTTGTAATAATATCAGTTGCATGATATTGTTTCACTGTATCTTATAAGTGAAGCGACATGGTGTTGAATACCACAGGGTTCAAGTTCTTTTGTGTTTTATGTTTCTTAAAATATTTTAGTCTACATATTAGTGTGAAATTCAAGTGTTCGCATTCGCAGATCCCTAGTATCACCTAAAAGCCTAGATATTTATTATATCTACTGGCAGCTTGGATTATTAGACGAATTATTATGCCGAAAATGGACGGATAACTAGTTTCTTAGCTCTAACAGAAGGCTTTAGCGTCTTCATTTTTATCGTTTGGAAATGGTTTCAGGTGATTAAGATTCACGTTCTATCGTTGGGGAGACAATTAGGAGATATGAAACGGGTAAGCTCTTCTGCATGGATGGATGGATGGATGGATTGGCATATTTTACACAATAGTAGCATTTTAAAGAAGTCAGTGTATATCGATTCCCCTGTGAAGTAAAAGTTGCTTACGATCAGTCAGTCACATGAAACGTTGATCAATGCTCACAAATGAAGCAAATCTTGTTATCTAGTGTGTATGCGGGTTGTATTCAGCAAATATGACTTCTGTTTTGCTCTAATCTAAAGATTTTATAAGACGACTACTATTTGAAATTTCATTAATTATTATTTTCAGTAAATTTGATTATAAGCCTGCTGGATCTGTTGATGGTATAACATTGACGAAAAGTGATCTTCAGTGTCTTGAACCTGGAGCTCTTATAAACGATGCAATAATCAATTTTTATTTGAAATACTTGTACTTCGAGCAACTGACGGACTTTCAGAGACAAGCTACTCATGTATTCAATGTGTTTTTCTATAGTCGGTTAACAGGCGGCAATGTATCAGTTGATACACACTCTATCCAGTACCACGCAAAGGTCAACTCGACAGAGAAGAGCTCCGAAAACTTTTCAAATAAATCCAAAAAGCAAGTCCTACACTTTTATGGGGAGAGGTGATAGGATAATAATAATAATTTTATTTCTGTAGCAGAAACCAGCCATTTTTACAGGCATGAACATATGTACACTTATGAAAACTTATAGAATATATAATATGATTTGTTAATTTAGAAATAAGTTGAATACTGGTAAATGTGAGAGAAACATTTAAAATGAAGTGTACAAATAAGGAAACAGATGTAGCGTCAAATCTAAACTGTGATTGAAAAAAAATACATGTCAATTTCACGCGGGAATCATAAACGATTGCGTTAGTTGGGAAGGTAAGTAGCATTTCTGTACAGGTGCTGACGTGGTACATAAGAGATGCAGAATAAACAATAATTATCAGTAAATCATTCAGAAAGAGTTTCAAAGTCTATTAAACTTTAAATTCACCTGTAAGTACATCATATTTGTGACATTTACAGTTGTTTATGAGACCCACTTTAAATTTGTCAGCAGATTTTATAATACCGATGATCCCGTTATTCACCAGATGAGCTAGCAATATCGCGAATAAGTAGATAATTGCAGCTCTGTATCAGTACCTTCGTTGAAAGCAGTGTCTTCCAAAAGAGAAGAAGACACAAGAAAACCAGCAGACAGGTGCAGAAGTATATAAAAGGTGTTAATAATTCAAAATATATAACAGGCATGGGGCTCATCATTTTTATTGTTTTTTTCAAAAAATATTATTTTCCCGATATTTTACAGTCTTTTCTCCGAACAATTAGTTTAAAGTGAAAGACAGGTGATAATTTCACCTACTTACGAGGTTTAAAAGGAGTTAAACACAAAAGTCAGAGTGCGTGAGCTGTGTAAAAGAAAAGCGAGGGCCTAGTAATATATGTTTTTCTGAAGTATACAGTTCGGTATCCTTCTGAAGTAGCGGACTCATACCATTTACTTTCATTCGGGAGTTTTCATTTAAGCTTCGGCTCTAGGCAATTTACAACTTCTATTTCTTTTTTCATTATTTTTATTAGTTTTTACTTTTCTATTTATTCTCATTTTGCAGAAGCTATCCGAACTCAGGAGCCTTAGCAATAGAGTGCTGCCCCACAGATAAGGGTGGTTCATATATGTCCCCACCATCATATCCCCTGACTAGCAGTCACCACCCTCCCACCTTTATTGTGAAAGGACTGGGCGGAATGCTTCATTTTTTAATAATTTTTTTAAAATTTCTGTCGCAATATGCCACAAACTTTTTGTTTTCCAAATATTCATTCGTCGACTTACTCAAATTTATGGTATGAATGACTACTTTCAGAAAAACATCATGTATGTTTCATCTTTTACAGTAATTTCGAGACGAAAAATGTAAGGAAGAAGGGCTCTCTGAGTCCTCATTTTAGAAACAAACAAATGTTGTCAATGGAGTTGAAGATTGAACGATCAATTCTTGGTTATTTGCTCAAAATCAACTTCCCCAATTTTCGCGGAGGCATCAATACGACAGTCATCGTCTCATCGGTCGCTGTTCAGAAAGAAGTCAGGAGACAACCATCAGAAGTAATCTCGTGATTTATTATTGTAATATTTGTTCACAGACCCTAGTAAAAACATTATTTTTATATGTTGGTGTAACAATAAAGAATTCTCGAGTGGCCAATCGGTCTTTTGGTTTTTTCGTCCGTTATTACTAAGCGTTTCTGAAAAACTGCAAGGAACAGCGTGGGCCCGAGCGTAGCAAGAGCTGGACATTAACGGTTTATGAGACTTTGCTGACAGTTTCTGACGATGGAAACAGATCTGGCGGATTCAAACAGTTGGTGAAAGTTTGCATAGTCACCGTTCATCTTTCCTGGTGCCGATCAAGTCCTCTTTGAACAAGCAATATCTGGAACATTTTTGGAATTTGGTCAAGTTCAACAATGCCTGGGTCAAAGAAGGGACAGAGTGTCTTGGATGCAAACAGGAAAGTAAGTCATGGTGACTTGTCTGTTAATTGTAACGATGTGTCTGATGTTAAGCATGACATGGTTGATGTTACTGTTTCGCCGTTCAGGGATAATAGGAACATCAAACTCCCTAAATTTGGACCACGGTGTTTTGATGGAAACCCGGCTGATTATTTACAATTTGTAAAGGAGTTTGAGATCATGTTGAGTGGTATTTTATTAAATGATGAATTGAAGTTAATGTATTTGATGAGATATTGCACTGGAATTGCTGCAAGAGCTATACAGTGCTGTAAGTTTATGAAGCCAAAAGAGGGCTACTACGAGGCTATGAGCATATTACGTCAAAGGTTTGGAAGACCTTCGATGATTGCAGGGAAATTATTCGAGGCTGTTAAGGGTAATGGTGGTCAATTACAGGATGACTCCCAGGCACTCACTGAGTTTTTGGATAATTTGCTGATTTACAAGAATGCATTGATTTCGATGAATCGCATGAGTGACCTCAACTCGAGTTTTATACTAGAAGTAATAGCAAGACGTCTACCTACTCGACTGCAAAGGAAGTGAGTGAAGATAAGCTCCTGTATGGGGGATGAGCGTATCGAGCCAAAATTTGATGATATCCTGAAACTGGCAAATACTAGCGTCAATCAATCTATGAGCAAGTTCGCCAGTCTATTTCATCTCACCCCTAGAATAGAGCAGTCTGAGAGCAAAATGCAATCATTGATGACGAAAGGGCCTCAGAGAGGTGGATATCGAGAAGGCTCCATGATGTCTAGTAATGCATATAGACCTAGTGAGTGTAACAGGTTTCGTAGTACATCCTCAACAGATAAGTTACAAGATGCAAGACAAACACGGTTGTGTTTTACACGTTTGCAAGAGGTGCATACAGAAGTGAACTGTGAACCAGTGAGCAAGTTCAGTGATAAGCTAAATGTAAACTCCAGGTCTGACTCCGAATTGTGTGACGATAACGGTGTTGTGAAGAAGTCTGTAGTTGCAACTGGTAAGCCATTGTTGAATAGAATGTCACAGAATAGAGTTACTGCTTCAGAGTGCAGTTCTGACTCCAAAAGTTTACAAAGTATAACTAGTCAGAGTGAAGATATAAAACCTTTAATGATTTGTGAGGAGGAACCAAAATTGTCTACTGCTGTTAACAAAGAGTTTGAAAATGATGAACTTGATGGTAAAGTAAATATTCGTGATAATGATCATGATAGTGCAGATTTGTCTTTGGTTGATCATGATGAGATGATAGATATGCCTACTACTGCCGAGTTGAACAAAGGTTCTGTACAACTTGAACGTGAAGTGGAAATAAATGCAGATGCAGTTCCAGAAGGTGTGCATACTTCTCAGACGGTCAGTGTAATTGATCAGCGTGTAGCCCACCTATCATCAGATGCTAGTGCTAAACCCGAACTTGTAGTGAAAGACAGCAGTGGTGGTGGTCTTGCAGGTAGACAAATTTCTGAAAGCCGAAAATGAACAGCTTCTGATCCACCGCTAAGTTCATCACCTTGTGTCACTCAGTCTTCGTTGGCGTTTTCATCCACAATGAAATGGACGTCCATGAACTCACGTGCCTTGTGCAATGACTATGATAGTACTGGTGTATTTGAAAGGACGAAAAATATTGCTCAGTTTAGAGAGGATAAGCCGAGTGTAAACGAAAGAGTAATTGTTAAATTGACTTTCATGAACCAAGGCATTTCTAGTTTCAAGTTACTAATTGAATGCTATTATCTTTGGTGTAAATTACTCTGTTTCTACACTTGGTTGATGAGATATGTCGTGTGTTTGTTCGTCATCTATATATATTCTACGATACAATGACATGGGCGTGTTGCCGTTCAGATTTGAGGATATAGCTGATAGAAGGAAGTTAGCAAATGAACTCTGCGACGATTTTCCAACCTAGGGCGTCAACCTGAGAAGGGTTGTAGGCGTACTGCTGTAAGTCCTACAATTCTTCAAAGGGTAGCGCATCAATGAGCAGTCCAATGTGCTTGGTGTGTGATTTTGTACATATGTTCATATTGTATATACTGAATTGATATCATCTGTCATCTAGCTGTTGGTAATTCTGTTTGTGTCCGGACGACTTCCACTTGGATCATCAACCTGAGAAGGAATGTAGGCGTACTGCTGTAAGTCCTACAGTTCTTCAAGGGTAGTTTGTCGTGCCAGAATCCACAACATTTGATGTGTTGATTGTACTTATGTCTGTGTTAAATAATTGTGTGAGTTCCAATTATTCTAATTGTTGGTTAATCTTGTTTGTGTCCGGACATTCCACAACTTACAATCGTCATCTATTGAAGACTTAGCTCTAAATACTGAAATTTCAGACATAGAAATGTCAACAGATCACAGTATTGACGTGCATCCCTTGCACACTGGCACTAATGCCAAACCCTCGAAAAAGTCTAAGCTGAATTCAGTAGTACACTTTGAATCTCTCGGGAAGTCATATACCTCACAACCTCTTAGCCCGGCTACTGTGAAGCAGCAATCACATGTGGCCACCCAGGTAGGTGTAAATACAAGGCGATATGATAAACGTCCTATTTCCGTTAGGAACACCAAAAAAACTGTTGAGACTATTCATCAGAAATCCAGTTTATTAGGAAATCCTACTAATCACCAGCAGCCCAAATTATACAGGCCGACTAATACGGATAAAGCTAAACCAAACGTTAGACCCGGAACACTAAAGCCCATAAGTAGGAAAGTTTCAAATGGGTCACTGGCTCATTCTACTGATAGACAATCATCTAAACTTAGTCATGTTCCTGAAGTTAGACGTAATTCACATACCGTAGGAGCTGAATCATTTCCGACTTCCACTACCAGTCCTATGATAAGAAAAAACAATCGTCACATATCTCACCAAACACTTCGAAAACACGAAGTTGCTCAACCCCTCACGAATGCACCCTCAACCATGATGTACAGGAAACATCAGTTTGAGAATACAGACGTTAGTCCAAAAACGCGTATAGTGCCCTGTCATAATTCTCATGCATTCAGTAGGGGTCACATGCCAATTTCAGCACAATGCTCATCATGGCCTAGGAAGTACTCTAATCAGACACAGGGATCTAAGTCATATGCACACAACAACACGCCGATCACACATTTCGGTTATAACTATGCAGATTACACGACACTAGCCAACCCATATGACCAAAATTTTCTCCAGCGACAACTGGCAGAAACGCCTGGGATCATGCACATAGCACGCATGATATCAGACCAATTCCTTGCTGGTATAGCGAACACCTTACAACAGGGAAACTGCTTCTTCCCCGAAAGATAGCAAACATCTTATACACACCTAATACCAATAGTAATACCATAGATTATCATACTAGTATCTCCCATAGCACGCAATATCTAAACGACCAACTACTCACGAGTGACATTTCACAACCCATCCCTAACTATCAAATTAAAGAAACCGTCTCTAGTGATCAAAATGTTGTAATTAATGAATCCAATAACGACTGCACATATTCAGTTGATAACCATAGAGTATTTTATTATGATATTGCCCATACACTAAAACCACTTCGTCAAAGTCTATCCGTCATCCTCATAAATGCTAGATCAGTTCTTAACAAACATTTAGCATTATGTACGTTAGCCTCTATATGCAATCCGTCGCTGATCATGATCACTGAAGCCTGGTGCTCAAGTGACATTGTGGATGGTAGCTTATCAATTGATAAGTACAATCTTTTTCGAGGGGATAGGGAAACAGGTCGTGGGGGTGGAACACTCATATACGTTAAACAACCCATTTGTGCAACGCATTTTAGTCACCCTATTCTGTCACAACTTAATGATTCGGTGTGGGTCGAAATAAAAGTTCTCAGAAGTAAACCTATCCTTATAGGGTGCGTATACCGACCGCCATCATCCAACCGCGAATACGATAACGTACTCAGCAACATATTTAGTGTTGCATCCAATCTCCCCTTCAGTTATAATATAATTGGAGGTGACTTCAATTTGCCTGATATATCATGGCGTACACTTCGTGGACCCTCGAGGTATGATAATCTTCTTAATTCCATCATTACTGGAGGATGGACGCAACACATAAATGTACCCACTAGGTCC